TTTCGAAATTATCTGTGGGATTGCTCGGGGAATGTTGTATCTTCATCAAGATTCAGGTTAAGAGTCATTCACAGAGATTTGAAAGCGAGCAATGTATTACTAGATGCTACAATGAATCCCAAATTTCAGATTTCGTATTGGCTAAATTTTTGGAGATCAAACTGAAGGAGATACTAAACGTGTGGTTGGTACATAGTAAGCACTGCAAATGCAAAGTTTTCGAGCAAACTTCTGCTACATGTTTCAAACAAGTTCTCACCATTTCCTTGCTGCTTTTTGTCCGTTTTTAGCGGTTACATGTCGCCGGAGTATGCAATGCATGGTCACTTCTCGATGAAATCTGATGTCTATAGCTTCTGAGTCCTGCTATTAGAGATCATCACCGGAAAAAAAGAACAGAAGTTATTTTCCTGATAGTCCGTCTTTGAATCTGGTCGGACATGCAAGTAACCAAAATTTTAGTACAATTTTTCATTCAGAAACGATTTTGATAACGCTGTTTCAGGTTTGGGAGTTATGAAAGAAGAAAAAAGCCATGGAAGTTGTTGACTTGGCATTAGGGGATTCATATCCAATGGCGAAATTTTGAAATGCATTCAAATTGGGCTATTGTGCGTTCAAGAACATGCAACACATCGACCAACGATGTCCAAAGTTGTTTCCATGTTAAGTAGCAGAAGTAGTGTTCAGTCCCCAAAGCAATCTGCATTTGTAGAGAAGAGAATTCACTATGAGGTGAGATATCGAGTAGTGAAGGAACCAACTCTGTAAATGGTGACGGTCACTGTGATTCTAGCTCGCTAGAAATGTTATAGTGCTTAATACACCATCGGTTTTTAGTGATGATCAGTTAGATGGTTGATGCAAGCTATTTGTTCCACTGGAAGATATGTATTCACTATAAGAATCAATATTGTACCATAAAAAGAGGTCTTCATCGATAGTACTCCTCTAAAATGCTCTCAGATAATAAACTTACGAATGAAAACGTTTGAGCGTCACAAACTTAGTTACATATCCACTTTCATATAAGTCGTACAAACATAAACATAAAGACTGACATTTATTTTGATTGAATTAATGACAAATGCCATTATCCACTTTTCCTTGAACAAAAAGAATAAGAGTTATTTTCTACAGCCGAAAGCATGCCATCTCTAGGAGACGGAGAAGGATACATGGTAATTAAAGAGTTGCCACAGCACTTCAACTCTCATGATAATGGTTTATTACTTCTTTTTGTTTGTAAATGAAATAAGGAAAATCATAAGCATCAAGGTAGAAGAACCAGTGATGAATTAAGCATGCAGATGAACAAAGGAATTTGCAGTGTAGTGTGAGGAAGAAGGTAAAGTACAGAAATCTAAAGCATAACTAAAATATTTCCTTTTCATTATTAATACCACATAGTATCGGGCTGCCTTTATAGCCACTAACAACAGTAAGGGCTAGTTAGTTATAACAGCCAACAAACTAACCGTCTACCAGTTGTCCGAGTCTTTCTATACTCTGATATTAAAACAGAAAGACTTATTAGAAGACTTAATACAAAATAAGTGTATAAATGCCTCAAAAAAGTTTTATTGACTAAAGAATTTTTTCGTTAAAAATAAGTATCTAATATTTTTTCCGTTATATTTTTAGGTATCTACCGTTAAAAAGTTAATTTTGAAGTATAATTTATACACTTATTTTTATATTAAGCTAAAGGAAACAATGGTGCAACTGCAAGGCCATCAAAAGCTACAAACATTTTTGGACTTATCAAAATACTCAAACTTAAAGGAAATGCAAGTTGAAATAAACAATCATTAGCCATTTACTTGATTGTTCTCTCCGAAACTAATAATAGTACGAGGGATTGTTTCGGGGAAGGAAGAGTTGTTTCGTTACATAACATAGAAACAACCGTGGACATCGTTGGTCGATGTGTTGCATGTTCTTGAACGCACAACAGCCCAATTCGAATGCATTTCGAAACTTCATTAGAATATGAACCCCCTAATGCCAAGTCAAAAACTTCCATGGCTTGTCTTCTTTCCATAACTCCCAGACCTGAAACAACGTAATTGGGAATCATGACTTGAATAGAAAACTGTGTACTAAAATTTTGGTTACTGACATCCGACTAGATTCAAAGATGGACTATCAGGAACATAACTGCTGTTCTTTTTGCCTGTGATGATCTCTAACAGCAGGACTCCAAAGCTATAGACATCGGATTTGATCGAGAAGTGACCATGCATTGCATACTCCGGCGACATGTAACCGCTAAAAACGGACAAAACATAATGGAAACGGGAATTGTTTGGAACTGTTCAAATTTTAAAAGATGCTTTTATTATAATATTGGAAAACTTCTCATCAAAACCACACCTCTTACACTATATATATATATAGGCATGATATCACACTTACCATGCACACAAATAACAACTCAAGCTCACCAACCAAGGGCCCCAAACAAAAATCAGCTCACGTTCACACCCATGGACCCCATAGCTCCAACAACTTTGCTACTAATCACTAACATTCACCCTACACAGTCACAATTCAAAATGAATCAAGACTGCCGACAACATTTAACTTGCTACGATACGTGGAGAATAAGACCGTGATAGAGATTTAGTGAACGTCAAGTTGTACATGCTTAGACCGTGCATTAAAAGCAGGATTTATGCTCATTGCCCTCGCACTCGTGCTATCACTCCATACAACAGGAACCGTACTAGATTCAATCATGGTTTTTAGAATCGGACTGGTTAGTGAACTGGTATGCTATCAGATCACTGGTTCAATCGATCGAATCGGTTCGATCGGTCGGAAGAATCGGCAACGTCATAATTATTTAAAAATTAAATAAAATACCAAAAATATTTAATAAAAAATAATTGTTTATATCACAAGTCATATTCAAGCAAATCATAACATATAAATTAAAAACCATAAATCAAGTGAAACAAAATGATTTAAATTAACTACAACATAATATTAAGGTAAAACATATTAATAATAAATATAATTATATAACTATAATAAAAAAATAATTTAGGGCTACAAAATCATAACAAAATGATATTGTTTGTTTAATTTTTTTAAAACAATCCCATGGCTAAGAAACATAGAAAAGCATCCCAGAATCTAAAGAGTAAAAATATGAAAACAAAACAATCTCACATTGCTAAGAAACATAGAAGAGTATCCCAACTAACTTCTATAAATAATAGTAATTTGGCATTCAAATTATGGAGACTTTTGGTGAGCATAGAGTGAACTATTCTTTCACTTCAATCAAGCTCGAATTTTAGGTTTCAATCGAGCTTCTATTTTTTTTTTTTTTTGAGTTCGAGCTTTTCGAGTTCAAGTTTCATATTATTTTGAGTTCGAGTTGAACTTGATAATTTTTAGCACGTGAGTTTGAGTCGAGTTGAGCTTACTTTTAAAGTTTTCAAGTTCGAGTTGAGCTTAGCAATACTCGAGTTCGACTCGGCTCGTTTAACAAACAACGTCGTTTGGTTTAATTTAAAAAAAAATTGGTGGTTCAATCGGTTCACGATCCGGTCCAGTTCGAACTGTTCAACAGTTTCGTCCGGTTCAATAGTAACGGTTTAACCGGATTACAATGAACCGAACCATGCAGCGGTTCCCGGTTGAACCGGCCGGTCCGGTCCATTTTTCAAAACACTGGATTCAACTCCCATATCACCAAGAAGAGCTTGTAACCACATGATTTCAGCCACACATCAGCTATTTCCCCGATACTCAGCTTTCGTAGTCGAGCGAGACACCGCTTTGTTTCTTTGAACACCAAGAAACAAGATTGTCACTAATGTACACACAATATACTGAAATAGATCGACGCTCATCAGATTATTCGCCCAATCCGCATCCGGAAAAGCACGAATCGAAAGATCCCACCCAGAAGCACGAAATAACAACCCATAATCAATCATGCCACTCAAATAACGTAATATATGTTTCACTGCAAGCCAATGTAATTCACATAATTAATGCATGTACTGAGCAACACACCCAACGCTAAAAAAGATATCAAGACGAGTGTGACTAAGATATAATAACCCACCAACAACATTGCGATACAACTGAGGATCATCAAGTGTCGACCATCATCACAAGATAACTTGGAGATGGCAAACATAGGCGTAGGGGCAGAACAAGCATCACCCATATTAGCAGGCTCTAACAATTCACAAAGGTATTTACGTTGAAGGCACCATCACAACGATCAACTTCAAGCGCAAGAAAAAATTTAAGTCCCAAGGTTCTTTAACGAAAACTTCTTACCAAGTAGACCCACAGTTTCCTCAACAAATCGTTACAAGTACCAGTAATAACTATATCATCAACATAAACAAAAACATAAACACATCGAGTGCCATCACATTTAATAAAAAGCGACACATCACCTTGAGTACCAACAAATCCATGACTAAGTAAGAAATCACAAAGCTTTACATACCGATTTCGAGGTGTCTGCTTCAACCCTAGAAAGCCTTTTGCAATTTACACACAAGATGTTCGCCATTGACAGATTCTTGTTCAAACCCGATGGAATAAAAACATCCTCAGACAAATCACCATTAAGAAATATATTATTAACATCCACCTATCGAAGCTTCCAATTATTTTGAACAGCTAAGGCTAACACAACATGCACCATTGAAACATTCACAACCGGACTAAACGATCACAAAAATCATGACCTGAAACTTGAGCAAACCCCTTTGCTACTAAACGCGCCTTATAACGAGCTACAGAACCATCTAGATTTTTCTTAATTCGGAACAACCACTTACAACCAAACCACTTACACCAATTGTATTTATTTTTAGGTAACAGTACGACCTTCCACGTACCATTTTAAAGAAGAGCATCATACTCTTCTAAAACAGCTTGTTTCCATTTAGGAGACGCCAAAGCTTGTCGAATAGTCCACTAGTTCAACATCCATTCTACTCTCTTCAACAGCATGAAAAAACATGGTTTAAACACCCCTGCCTTGCCACGAGCACCATAGGGTGATTATTGACCACCACATTCGAAGGTAATGGCAGCGAATCAATTGCATCAGACTCAATCAAATGACCACTCTCACGAACAGAGTCAGACGAGGCCGGCTGCACCAAAATACCACCTTGCGCATTACTCATAGCATCATCGCCAGTTTCAGTTTCATTCACCAATGGTGTTGACAAAGCACCATGATCAAATGGCAAGTGTCAATGCGTGTGTCAGCATCATCCCTTGCTGATTCCCAACAGAAATAGCACCACTAGACTCCCTAAAAATCAAAGGAGCAGCCACTACCTCAGACCCAGCACGTCACCCTATAAACCCTCACACAAAGGCACCAAATTATGTTGCAAACCATAATAGGAATTGTACAATTATCACTACACATGGGTAAAGATTGAAGAAAGCCCACTACCCAGGCACCACAAAAATGTCCGAATTAAATATGTAGGCACACACCCGAATTAGAGTTAGTATCACCAACCGTAGCAAATGGAAAAACAAACCGATAAAAAACATGCAACATGACGAGACAAATACACACGACCATCCTTTGCTAAACAAAAATACCCCTTGTTATCCAATTTAATTCAAAACATATAATAATTGAATACTATTTTTTAACTTCTAATAACTGATAGATTTAACAAAACAACCACTAATGAAGCTAATATACATTCAAGAGTGTTGATTGACACCCCCAAAAGTTTGTAAAAAGAAAAAAATTCCATATAATAATGTATATTCAATATAAAAGAAAACGGCACATCTTTTAAAAAAAAATTGACACCCTTTAAAAGGAAATTAATCCACTTTTAAAAATATTTAGGATAAACTACATAAATAGTCACTAATATTTAAGTCATTTTTGTTTTTCCTACCAAATTTTTAAAAGTATCAAATTAATAACTAATTTATCGATTTGTAACAAAATAATAATTAACTTATTATCTACTTATAACAAAATGGCCAATACATTATTATCTCTATTAAATTGATGATGTGACAAATAATAAAAAGATAAATATTAGTTTTAAAACCCTAAACTATTACTTAGGGATAAACATAGGTCAGATCGGGTCAGATTTTTTATCCATCCGACTCCACCCGAGAAGTGTTCCTCCACCTGACCCCTCCGATTTTGAAAATTTCACTGGACCCGACATTCAACTCGAGATTGAACTAAAAACCTATCCCACCCGACCCTACCCAATCGATTCCAATGTTTTTATTTTCTCATATATTCCCCTATTTTCTTACTAACCAAACAAACAACCAAGCATAAGAATGAACTTAAAAAATAAAGCAAACTGGAAAACTAAATCTAAACAATGAAAAAATGTGTGATTTTTAAAAATAATCCCAGAAAACAAACTAAAAATTAGAAGAAGAAAATTAATCACAGATAATACATACAATACTTGAATCTTCGTTTAGATCATGAAACCATCATAAAAGATACATAAATTTATTACAAAGGTGAGATGGGAGAGACAGCAAACGGCCGTTTGCTATGAAAAAATCCAAACAAACCTCACAAGAATAAAGGAAAAATGAAAAACTAACAAAATAAATAAAGAACATGAGAAGAATAAAGAAGAAGAAGAATGGCAAATGGAGGAGCGATAGAAGCTAAAGTGGGAAAATGAAAGGGAACCAAAACCCTAAATAATATATGTAGATGGCATTTTTGTAAATATTTTAAATATTATTTTATATTATACCGGGTCGGGTCTAATCGGATATTTTTCACTTTAAACTCGACTCCTACCAGGACTCGATACTCTCTCCCATATAACTCAACTCGACCTGACCCGAACCCAATTGTTTTAAAAAAATTGACCCTATAGGGTCAAATCTAGTCGGAAGCCGTCGGGCTTAATTTAAATGTTCATCCCTACTATTTGATAAAATATTAAATAGGTTATTGAACAATGATTTTATATTTAATTTACCCAATAACTTTCTAATTTTCATAAAAAAAAATCCAAAAATTATAATTATACTCGAATAACATTTTAGAAAATAAAAATCTATGAAAACATTAAAAATTAAAAGATCTAAAAACTAAAAAGTGACGAGTTTATAACAAAATAATTATTAAATATATTTTTATTATTTAGGTAATTCTAATTTTTATTATTTAAAATACTATTATTCTATTAGCTCATCATAATTGTTCAAAATATATTTAGCATTTATTTTTTACATTTTTATTGTTTTTATATATTTTTGTTTTTTTTTAAAAAGTGTTCAAATACAATTATAATTTTTGGGTTTTTTTAAAATAGAAAGTTTTTAAGGGTAAATTAGATACGAGATTATTGTTCAATGACCTATTTGATGTTTTAGCAGTAGTTTAAGGATAAAACTAAATATTTACTTTTTAAAAAAATTGTCACATCATTAATTTAATGAAGATGGTGGTGGAGTGAACATTTTGTTCCAAATCATTAATGTTGATGGTGATTTTGTTACAAAACGATAATATTAATGATCAATTTATTATCTTTCAAACTTAAGGGAGGAAAACAAAAATTTAGTCGAACATTAACCCATATATTTAACAAGAAAAAATTTAAAAATCAATTTTCTCACTTTAAAAGAATCTTTATATAATTTTTAAATTTGACACTCCAAAATAAATTTTCTAGCTTCGCCCCAAAATAACTTTTAATAGTCAAAGGATTCAATGAAGTCGTATCCTATAACTATAACTAGGAAACTATTTGTGTGCTTTACCCATTTTTTTCCTTTATCATGAGTATCAATGGCTATCTATAAGTTATTCTTTTTATAACCACTAGTACGTAATATCCCGAGATTTGGATCAATATTTCAAGTGGTAAGTTTAGATTTTTCATAATTTTTAAAAAATAAACTTTTAGATTAAAATGAGTTTTTTGAAAATAAATAATAACTTTTACTAAAGTAGGTTAATTTGAAATCTGGATTGAGAAAATGATTTTCTATAGTATTAATGTAATATTTTAAATTCCATTTCCTTTTATAACTAATCTCTTATGTTTTAAAATCTCTCAAACACATTCTCCCTAGATTCTAAGAACTTCTCCATTTCATCTCACCTTCCTCCTTTTTTTTTCAAGCTTCAACTAAATCATCTTTCAAGATTTCTTCATCAATCAAGTTCATCTCCAAAGAGATAATCTTTTCATTTCTTATATTAAATCCTTGTGATTTAATTTTTTTAGTTTGAGTTTTAATCCTCTAATGAAGATATTAAATAAAAAAATTCAAACGAAAATCATGATAAAATGGTGATTTCTGAATGGTCTCTATTATATTTTAATTTATCAAGAGATTCCTAAATTTATTTTAGGGTAAACTATAGAAATTGTCACTTTCGTTTGAGTTTTATAAATTTTTCCTCTTGGAATTCAAAAACATAAGATTTGGTCACTTTCGTTTAATTTTAATTAAAATGTGGCCACTGAAGGTTAATGGTAGTTAAACCTTTAACGGTTTGTTGACGTGACATAAAATTAAAATTACATCATTTTCACGTAAATATACGTGGATTAAGTTTGGTCTCACTAAAGTTAATATATATAAGTTTTGGTCATTTATGTTATCATCTTATTAAGTTTGGCCACTTGGATGTTGAATGTCGTTAGTTTGATTACGTGACCTGTTAGTAAAATAATTTAATTTTCATTTTAACCCCTAACTTTAGACAAATATCGATTGAGTCTTTTTGTAAATTCAAATTAGTTTAGGGGTTCCATTTCAATTTACCCATTTTTTAATATTTTTTTCTCCTCAACCCCCAAATTGCTCGTCTTCTCTCGTATATCTTTGGACACCTGCTCCATTGAAATAGTTTTTCTGTTTCTAGTTATTAGTTGTAATTATTTGAAGTCAAATTAAGTGGGTTTCTCACAGAGAAAAAGTTAAAAAGAAGTAATGATGATATTGAAAAATGCAAAGAATTCGCCGTTAAAATTCTGAAAAGATTCACCACCACCACCACGCCAATGCCTCGCGTTGAGAAAACTAGAGCTTCTTCAAAGAGCATAATTGACGACATAGTATTAGTTTTTCATCTCCGACGCGTTGTTGATCAACAAAATCCCAGTGATGCGAAAGATCGTCAAGAATATACATTCGAATGTGATCGACCTCCATTGCATTTACGAAGATCAAACCGACGTTCACTTAGTTCTGGATCTCTGCTTCGATGGTATGTTGTTTGATTGGGTCATCGCAGAAACGAGGTACTCATAGGCCGACGCGGTGGTAGTGGTGCGACAGACCACGTAGGCCGCAAGGGTTAAAGGTGATTCACAGGGATCTAGAATTGGAAAATTGCTTGTTCTTGAGAAAACAAAAATTCGACATTGAAGATCATGGGTTTTGGATGGAGTTCAGTGGATGAATTCACATATTAGTTATTGGGTTGTTGGATCCATTGATTATGTTTCACCGGAGGTGCTTTCTCAAGGGGAGATCACCACGAAGAGTGATATCCGATTATCGAGTTTTTTTTAGATCCATTGATTTGTCTCCATGTTCCTTGTTGGATTTGACATTCTGCAATCTCAATCTTTGAAAATTAAATTTTAGTTTGTATAAGCGAGATTTTTCAACTTCATTTTATCTCTAGATGTCTACCCTCTCATTTTTCTCTAAACTTGTGGTGTTTTTATTTGTTATCGAAAGTTGAAAATCTTTCATTATTCTTGAAATGCAACCTGAGTCATTGAAAGAAGGCAATGAAGTAATGGAGTAGAGATGTCCTTGAAATCCAGTGTGTTCCTTTGCGGTTACTTAGGGATGCATGTTAATGTTCTCACTTAAGCTTTGATATTGCATATTATTGTGGTAACTTACAACATTCATTCAAACTCTTTAAGGTCACTTTGTCTTGTGATGTCATTTGCATAGAATTAACTTCTCTCGAGTGTGGTTGGATCGGTTGGGTTATACAGCTAGGTCGACTTGAGTTATGTACCGGATAA